AAACTGATCCTTCAGAAATGTGAAGAGCACATTGCAATGGCAAGCACAGTAGGCAAGGCGATCTCTCGTGTGGCTGTCATCCCGCATGACTTAGAGTACCCATGAAGATAGGAAGAAAGGTGGGGGCATAGAGATAGATAATATGTTTTCTGTGAGCTGGTCTTGGTCTTACATGCCTCTTGTCCTAGCCTTTGGATGACAGAAGCAGGAGGATCAACTCAAGTGTGAGACTAGCCTATACTACGTTGAGTTTCAAGTCCAGTTTGGGTTACACAGCCAAAGGGTGTCTCCAAAAGTATTTTGTGAAGTTAGAGTCTTCTGTAAATTCATTAACATTATTGGGTGTGTTGTTCATTCATTTATGAATGTATCTGCAAAGCACTTTGAGATCATCCTTTCAGACAGCTAAAAAATAAGTCAGGTACACAAATTAAGTAGACTGGCCGTAACTTGCTTTTAAACATTTCTCGTTCACCAAACAGCCGTCTTCCTGCAGCAAGCCTTAATGTTTTTGAAAACTGTAAATAGGATCAAAGACTAAAACAGGCTTTCCAGTGAGCGAATGTCGGAAGCTGATAAGAAGCATTCTCAGGGCTTGGGTAGCATAACTTACTAAAAACATATCTCTTTGCAATCTGCTGTTTTCTCCTGTCAGCCACTGACATTTGAAAGATTTACTGATTGGCTTATAAATTACAGAGCTTGTATGTGTTGTGGACTTCTGAGCTAATTACACGTTTGCAACTGCAGTTAATACTTCTACTTCAGGCAACTGTTAGCACTCATACCTACAGAGGGGATAGTTTCCCGTAATTTTTTATTATTAAAAAAGACGTGTAAAAATTACATTTCCAGACAGCTAGTATTACCAATTAAGTACCTCAAGAAAGTCCTTACTTAATAAATTACCTGGTCAAGTTGTGATAAGTCCTTACTTAATAAATTACCTGGTCAGCATAGATGATCCCCCCTGCAGCTCCTACAACACCCCCCCCCCCAAAAAAAATAGTAAAAAGAAACAAAGGAAGAACTACAGCAGGATGGTAATAGTTTCTTTAACCTTCTTGTAAGAGCTATTATGGTCTTATAGCTGTTAAAGCTCACTCCATAGATGAACATGCTGGGTCTTACAGAATCATATAGACGGAAAATGAGAGAAAAGTGAATCTCAGATCTAAGATACTGACCTGACGAGGACATGTGCAAAGGTACGCTTTTGTACTAAGCAGGTTTTTGTTTGTTGTAGATCATGTTAGTCTGTGGGTGAAATGCTGCATCTATGAAAACATACAGCACAGCGGCCTTTAGCTAAGGCCAGAGTATCTGTGGCCTACAAAGATTATCATCAGCATGCATTATATTTTCAAAGAAGAATTTGGCCTTGTCTTTCCTAAAGATTCACTGCAAAATTGTGGGAAGGCAAACCTTTATTTAACAAAGAGGCACTGTGGACTGAAGGCATCTCCTCATCGTTGCCCTTAGGAAAATTCTGATTGTACTTCATCTTCAGGATTTTCCTCCACTTCATCTTTCAGGATTTTCTTCCACTGAGTTCAGTCCTACTATTTAACATTTAAAAGCATGTTCTGGCTGGTTTTCCCAACCTGCTATTTATTACGTCTTTGTTTTTCTTTTAAGATTTCCCTCTGTAATCTGAATTCTGCCTCTTACAAAGTGTATCAGTAAGTGACTACTGTCTTTGTCCTAATTGGGATTTCATGTTGATGGTGAGGCCCTGAGAAAATTCTAGCTCAACTGTTACTGACATAGGAGGCTTTGCAGTTATTTATTAGAAGACAGCCTGGGAGGAAAAGAGAACATGGATTGTTGTGATCCTCTCGCTAAATCCGGCTCACTGCTGTTATCTTTTCTTTACTGCTCTCTCTAAAAGGCATCGTTCAGTGCTCTAATCTTTCAAGCAGCCATTCAGTGGGAACTGGGCTAGAACCTTGCTAAGGGGTCACATTCACCCGCCTGACAGGTAGGCATTTACAAAAGAAATGGTATGAATTTATTCAGCATCAAAAGCTCTGCATCACTTACCACCCAGCCGTATTTCACACCGTATTTACTGTCATTGCACTGCAGTAGCTGCACAGAGCCCATCCAGATTCTTCATTTAATTAACCAGCATTCTTTGAACAAAAATAAAAGTGCTGTTTTTATGGAGGAATAAAAGCTGCACGACGCGAGTGTGAAGAGGACAGAGCATCAAATTAGTGATTCTTCACTGCAGCCGGGGTGATTTTCCCGCCCTTCCTCCTCACTTCAGAAGCTTCTTTCTTTTTTTTCTTTTCTCTTCTTTTTTTTTTTTTTGATTGAAGAGAAAATGGGGATCAGTGCGGTGTCCTCAAATGTGTTTGAAAGTCTGTTGTTAAAACCACATCCTAAGCTAGTGCAGGGCTGATGCTGGTGGTAACTGGTACCTAAAAGTTATTTTTTATAACGTTTCCTGTAGTTGACCAGTTAGTATATGAACTAGTAACCCAGAGCATAAACTCTATTAACTAAACTGCATGAGTTCAAATCCCAGCCTTGACACTAAACTTTCTGTGCTTTGGTGCCCTGTCTTTAAAATGAGGATGATTCTAGACATACCCTATAGTGCAGTGTGCAGTTAGCGGACTCGACACACACAGCCTCTAGAACAGGACTGGTAGGTTAAGCTGGCGCCTCCAGCGTGCACAGCAGCAATCGGGTGGGAGGCTGACCCAGGTCTATCACTAGTATCTTTCTTGGTTACCTGGGCTTGGACTGACAGGTGCCGCACATTAGGTAGATCCCCTTCTCTCCTCCCTACTCTCACTTCTAAAGGCACTCTGACGGTATAAGACAAGTGTTTTCAGATATAAGGGAATCAAATTCTTCGAGTGACAGGTATAGAAAACAGCTGATTTCTCATACTGCTCCACTCTGCACCCAGCTGCCAGGTTTACCTTTGAAAATTAATCTGATTTATTCATTTGTTTATATAGCTCTTCTAGCAACAAACCAACTAAAACCCTATTTTCCAATAGGATCCCTCTACCTCAGTCAGAACCCACCTGGCATGGTTTCTCATGTGCCACGGTCCTTCTTGCTCATTTGTTCATGCTGGTTTTAGTTTGTTTGCTATTATTTTATTTTCTCTACCACTCCTTCCTCCATTTATCTACATCACACCTTATGCTCCAGGCCGAGCCAGAAGGGTGTAGGTATTATTTACCCTTTTGTGTTGGATTTACATCATATCCCACAGCTGTCTTATGAAGTAGATGCTGACTTCCTATTGTTGATGACCTAGCCTGTTCTACCCCCAAACTGTACTGGAACTCTAACTGCCTCAGCTACCATCTCTTCTACAACCCTGGCCAACCGCAGTTAGTTTTACTTGTTCCCTTTCCTCCTCTCTCTGCTCCCACTTGTGTCCTCCCATAGAGTTTGTTCTTAACTAAGTAGAGTAATGCACCCCCTTAAAACTTAAGCCAGTTCCTATCACTTCTCTATTCAAGGCCCTCCAATCCCTTCCTGCCTCACTCTGAGGGAAGCCGAGCTCTTTCAAACGGCCTGTGAATGCTCTTCAGGCCATCCTGTCTCCACACTCACCCGTGTTACCTCTCTGCCCTGGTATCCTCCCTACGTCCCTGTCGTTCCCGTACTGTTCACTGCTTCTGCCTCTCCTACTGCTTCGATGTTCTCCAAAGATAGAAAGCCCAATCCAATACCAGGCCCTTTACACATGTGCTGCTTTTGCCCAGAAAGCTTCTCCTCGGGGAATCATGGCACGGTGCCTTCTGTGGGTCTCTAGACAGTGTCTTCTAACTGAGATCCGAACTCATGCCCAACCTACTGTCTGTCTCTCGAAACTGGAATGTTTTTTTTTTGGAGGGCGAGAGTTTTCCATGTATACTGTTCATGGGTATTGCAGAGATTGGCATATAATAAACACTTATTGACTGCTGCGTGAAAACAGACCCTTGCGGATATCCCCACACACCCACGCTTCTCTCAGTACTTCATGCTCCAGCAAAAGTGAATGCTCCATAACAGCTTCAAGAACGTCAAAATAGCCATAGTTTAATATTAGCCATGACAACTGGAGCAGAAAGTTCCATTACAGAGAAGAGAGGTTCCTGCACTCTCTAAAGAAGAGTTTTATGCTATAATAGCTGCCATGCTAAATTTTATGGGTGTCCTAAGGGACTGTGACCTAGCAACAAGGAGCATTTTGAGAGAGCAAATGGCTTTTGCCACCCTAACCTTCCAAAGTGAAAAGTATAGCTAGTGTTTGGAGCATTTTTATTTTGTTTGTTTTGTTTTATTCTGTCATCCAAAGACAATACAGTGATGAAAAGAGATCATTAGTATTGAAGCCAAGCAGACCCGGGCTCAAAATTTGTCTTACTATATGCCCTTGTTCAGCTTGCTCATGAATAAATGGTGTTTAACCCATTGTCTCTTGAATATTGGGTCCAACAGATAAACAACTATAAATTATGCTACTGTCAAAACAAGAAGTAATCGTCTGATATCCAGGAAGAAAGCTTTGCCTTGGTCTTGGTCCACCACGAAGCCCCAAGGCACTGTAAGCCCCTCCCCAGCATCTGATGAAGCTGAAGTAGCCTCCTGAGAACACAAGCCCCTCCACCTATTCCTTTTTCGGTAGCTTACTCCTTTTGTCTTTTGGATCAGTTCCTATTCATCTATCTTGGATTTTCAATTTTCTTTACCTTCCTTCATTTTTCCAAAAGCAGTGCTAAGTGTGTGATGCTAAAGATTCATACAGAATCTTAATACAGGAAAAAAAAATTACACAAAAAAATTCCAAGAAACCAACAGAAGACAGGGCAGCTAGTTCACATAGTGAAATAACATGTTGACTAGTTTTTAGGTGAAAGATAAAGAGCATAGACGTGTTAAGCTTTGGAGTCATAACTGCCAAAATGAGAAAAATACTTTGTGTAGACCTCAGAAGTATGTTTTGCATTTTCTTCACTCCACACTAACTTTTAACTCCTTAGGAAGCCAAAGCTGTCGCTGAGGAAACACGAGCTCTGCGAAGCCGGATCCATCTTGCTGAGGCTGCACAGAGGCAGGCGCATGGCATGGAAATGGACTATGAGGAAGTGATCCATCTGCTGGAGGCTGAGATCGCCGAGCTAAAGGCTCAGCTTGCTGATTATTCTGAGCAAAATAAAGTAAGCAAACAGCCCTCTCTAGTTACCATGGTTTCCTTGCCACTGTCATGTATCCTGTTTTCATTTTCTTTTCATCTGCACGTCTAAACTAGGTCAGTGTTTGTCTTCTATTATTCAATGATAGGATGTTGTGTCATGAAGAGGGTGGCGTGGAAGTTGTGAGCCTGCCTTCATCCAGAAAGCCTGGAGATGGAAAAGCACGGGCCCGAATTAATTGGGTCACTGGTCAACATTGTTCCATTCAGCCATTCAGGCCTGGAACTATTTAACTTTTAATTGATGGCACTGGTTTTCTCTTTCTGTTTTGGAGCTTGCTAATTTGTTTTGTGGTGATTGAAGGAGGGGATTCAGGGGATGAGTTTTGCTCTTTGATTAGAGAACTTGGGGCTGTGTAACAGGTAATGAAGTTTTGCCTGAGGCCCACGGCGACTAATGAGAAGAAACCAAGTTTGGATTTGTTTTGTTTTGTTTCTTTCAATGGGAGGAGTACTCAATTGGACTCCTCAAGAACAGCTCTTAAATTGCAATACAAGATCCTAGGTACCTTGCAGGAAGCAAGCTGAACATCTCTATGTGGAAATTGTCTACAGTGTACCATCTTTAGTTATGACTAACCTTCAAAAACATAGTAGGCGTGTGTGTGTGTGTGTGTGTGTGCGCGCGCATGTGTGTGTGTGTTATGTCACTGAAAGTATAAACTGGAATGATTTGAAGCAGGTATTTTATAGCTTTGTAGAAATTCTTCAGTTATAAGTAATGGATATTTATATCTCTAAGCCCATTCAGCCTTCAAGAGAATACAAGGCAAATTTGAGCTGTTTATGAATATTTATGCATATAAGGCTTACGTTCTTTAACATACAAAATGAAAGTGAAAGTAGTTTGAATAAAAAACATTTTAACAGACAATAGGAGGTTTTCTTTGCTCGGCTCTGAAGAGCCCTCACCATTTCCTGCGTATCTGGCCATCTAAACCAGCTCTCAGAAGGCTAGAGGACCCACCCCACATTGTTCAGACCTTGAGGAACACATAGCACTTGAGAAAGCAGCAGCTCTTAGGAATGTCAGTTACAGACATTTGTTTATCTGTGTATATTTCTAAACAACTGTGGCTGTGCCATGTAACCTTAACCTTATTGTGAAACTATTGTAGAAATTGCCAAAATATTAGAAATATTTTAAATAAAATAACTAGTTACTTTTAAAGCGAAAGTTGCCAGTGTTTGGTAATTTAAAATTTTTCCTTTTTTTTTTATGACAGTGGAGATTAAAGTAGGATCTTATATATGTTAGGGTGGTGCTCTATTGTTGAGCTACTCGTTAGCCCTGTATTTTTAGGTAATTATACTTTTAAGAGCTTTGCATAAAACTATTCCAGTGTTTTTTGCTTTGTTTGTTTTGTTAGTTTATAAATGTAGCATGTATGAGAAGGGGGTGTTTGGAGGTAGGAGGCCATGTGCAGTGTGCACATGGAGGTCAGAGGACAATGTTGTGGAGTCAGTTTGTCCACCGGCTTTTTCGTAGGTCCCCAGGCTGGGGCAGCAGGCACCATTCCCCACTGAGCGACCCCTCCAGCTCCCCGTGTGCTGCTCTGTTGTATAAAGCTTCAGTTATTGCATTATCTCCTCTCCAGTGAGAAATATTTTGGTCCTAAGTTGCCTGGCAATATAATTAATTCATGTTCTTCCTTTTTGTAGCTTTATATGGGATGTCATAAGATCCTTTTTAATAAGAGCCTCTCTAAAAATCAGTGGTTTTTTTTTTTAAGAAGATATATTAGACATTAGCATCTCAACATTCAGTATTTTCCAATCTCCATACCAGAAGGGAAGAAGTGACTTTTCCAACTGTGTGTAAGATTGCTTAAGGATCAGTTGACCTAGGTGCTACAGAACAAAGATTGAGATATTTAATTATCTGCTTTTACTTATTTTGTGTGTGGGGGGGCACAGATTGACTAGCGTGCAATTGCATGTTTGTGTGCACTTGCCTGTTGAAGGCAGAAGTCATCATCAGGTATCTTTCCTAGAGAGCTACCCGTCCTTTTGAGGTTAAGGGAAAGGAGTGTTTATAGACATTCGCACTGGGACCTGCAGCACCAGAGATCCTGCTCTTGTCACCTCTCCAGAGACGGATGACACATATGTACCACTCTGCCTGGCTTTTACATGGTACAGGAGGTGGAATTTGGGTCATACAGTACACAGCAACTCAGCTATCTCTAGAGCACCTAAGTATTTATTTTTTTAGACTTAGATTCTTTCTGTAATAATGCTTTTATTTATTACTATAATTTTCCCTTAAATTATCCATATATTTTCTAATTTATATTTGGACTTTTGAAAAATGCATCTGAAACATAAGAAATAAAACATTATTGAGGCTGGAGAGATAACTCCATACTTAAGAGTACTTTCTGCTCTTGCAGAAGACCCAAGACCTGTTCCTATCATCTGGATTGAGTAGCTCACAACATATAACTCCAGCTATAGGGGATCTAATGCCCTTTCTGACCTCCAAGGGCAACCACACCCACACATACACTATACATGCATACATAATGCAAAAATAAAAACAAAGATTTTTTTAAAAGTAAAATAAAGCATTACTGATACCTGTGAAGGACCACAATACCCCTCTCCAGATTACACCCACCCACTTCCCTTGCCCTCAGAGTTCACTACTTTCTTGGATTTAGTGTCTACCATTTTCTTGATGGTTTTAATACTTGCATATCTACTCCCTATTTGTTTAGTTTTGCCTGTTTACCAGGTTAATTTGTGGTTAGTTGGTGTATTTCTCTTTAGTCTTCATTTCATTAATTACCACCATGTAGTTACCCATTCTGCATTTGATGGGAAGTCTTATTATTTCTGTATCATTCTACTGTGAACCATGCTCCTGAGAACATTCTGATGCATAAAACTTTCTCCGCATGTGTAATTGTTACATATGAGAAGTAGTATTGCCAGGTTGAATGATAATTGCATGTTCAGCTCTATAAGTAAGTGCCTAATTGTGACTGAAAGTATTTTTAACTAATTTGTATTCCCATGAAGAATGGATTAGAATTACCATTCACCCCTTACTGGTCCTTAACTTTCTTTTATTTTGGATTTTTATTCATCTGGTTGGTATAATCATTGCTATGCCAATATAGTTTAATTTGGATTCCCCTAGTTACTAATGACTAACATAGTGGTGTTCTGGAACCCATAGGCACTGGCTCATGAGAACTCGTCTCTTCTCACTGCCATGTTCACTCATGGAGGTTGGAAGCTTAAATCAATCCTGATGAACTCACTCATATCCCCAAATTCTGTAAACCTGCAATTTGCCTTTCCGTTCTTGAGAGTAGTTGGTTATATATTTATGCATTCAGTAGTCACTTATTTTTCTGAGTGAAATCTGCTTTTGTATCTTTTTGCTGTTTTCCCATTGGGTTATTTGTCTTTTGCTTAGAGACATGTAGTGATTCTCCTGGTTACTAATCCTTTATTAATTTATATATTATAAAACTACTCTCTCAGACTTGTGGCCTGTCTTTTCTAGTCTATAATTAAATAGAAAGGAGCTCTTAATTTTCATGAAAACTTACTGTCTTACTTTTATATTACTGTGCTAAGACACCATGACCAAGGCCACTTTATAGAAGAAAAAGTTTATTTGAGGCTTACAATATCAGAGTTTTTGAGTCCGTGACCATCATAGTAGGTGTCATGGCAGCAGACAGGCAGGAATGGCACTGGAGCAGTAGCTGAAAGCTTGCATGTTGATCCACAAGTATCAGAGAGAAAGCTAACTTGGAATGTCCTCAACATTTGAAGCCTAATGTGCCTGCCCCCACTGACAAACCTCTGCAACAAGGCTATAATGTACCTCCTAATCCTTCCCAAACAGTTCACCAACTGAGGACTAACCATTCAAATATGTGAGCTTGTGGGGCCATTCTTATTCAGACCACCACACTTATAATTGTTCCCCTCTGGTGTCTTTTTAAAGGTCCTTCAATCTCCAAAGATACAAAGACATTTATTCGTATTTGCTTCTAGAAGTTGTAAAGTTTTGATACTTCTATAACTGGTTATGTAGCACTACACAAGATGGAGAACATTCTTATTCTTCCATTGTTCCACATGAATAACACTGCCTGATCCTTCACTTACAAATCTCATTTGATAACTCACCTGGATGTCATTTCTACCCGATTCTAAGGTTCCATGTGGGTGTGGCTCTCTATTCTCTTTCCCTGGTCTACATTTTACTTCTGAAGATAACAGTTTGTTGTTTACTATGTCTTTTATGATAGTCTGATCATGCTGTCTACCTATTTTTATCCAAAAGTGTGCTAGCTACATGGCCCTCTTATCACATATTCTGTATACTGCTTCTACATACGACCAAAAAATGATTGCAAATTTTACTGTAAGATCATTAAATATCTAGATTAACTTGGGAAGAATTTTTCGCCCTTATTTATAAATGCCACTGAGGCACAGAAAGGTTCTTTTTTATTATTATTAAAGGTTCTTATCTGTGACTAGAATCGAGTTTCTAGGATGACAACCCAGAAGAATTTGCTGATGTTTCTTTCATGGATTAATGTGCATTTGGTTCTTACAAATGGTCAAAGTGAACTTGATAAGATATCTGCCATACCAGGTACTTTCCCATGTTTTTACCAAGGTCAAGGACATCAGGGATTCAGTTTCTCTCTGTTCATAGTAATATCTTTGTGTTCATGTTTTTAATTTCATTTTACATTCCATCCACAGTTCTCCCACCGCTTCTCCTGCCTCCCCCAAGTCTCCCTAACCCACCTCCATCCACTCCTCTTAATGGGTAAGGGCTCCCAAGGGGGGTCAGCAAAGTCTGGCACATTAAGTTGGGACAGGACCAAGCCTCTTCCTCCTGCATTAAGGTTGAACATGGCATCCCACCATAGGGCATGGGGCTCCAATAAGGTAGCTCATGCACCAGGGATGGATCCTGATCCTACT